GGAGAACCTGCAGGGAGGCTTCCAAAGAAGACCTCAAGAAATGGGACACTACTTGTGGAAGAAGTGGATCTTTCAGGAAACCTGGTCCCAAGCTGTTTACTTGGTATTATGATCGCATGGTGGCAACATCAAGAGCACCGTAACAGCTAGGGAGAGGCATGACGGATCTGAAGACCTTTCTGCTAGCTCCGGCTGACAGAAGATAATTGCATGGTGACTGATAGTAGCCAGACAGATTAGTTTGTTTAGATTAGTTTTTTTTTAATTGTAATGTATTATGAAAAGTCTCAATAAAACTTTCCAAACAAGAAACGAAGAGAAGAGAAGAGAAGAGAAGAAACCATAACAGAGGAAGGGATTGGGAAGACACAACGGAAGTTTAAATGACAGCCAACCCATAGAGACTCTTATAACTGCTCCACCAATCATAATTGAGCTCTTTATGGCATCCACACTTGAACATACAGTGATGTTCTAGTGCTTTGTCCAGCACTGGCTTCCATAGGCCATTATTTAGGAATGTGGGAAGAAATTTACAGCCAGAATGGGTTGGGTTCCCTCCAACAGGAGTTCAGATCCCTTGATAATTAAAAACAACAAAACCAAACCAGAAGTAGACTTTTGCTGTAGGAACTTGCAGAGCTGATTGATTGCCATTTAAATAATAGGCAGCGCTCATGGTCATATAAACCAGCACTGAAGAGTGTGTGTACAGGATTGGCTTGAATTAAAGCAGCAAATGCCCTGCCCCCTCCCTCCTGCTGCCTAATGTCAAGGTGCATAGTGCTCTATTGCTGGTCAAGTTATGGCTGGCACCACTCGAGGCAGAAACAATTATGCTATGTATTATTATCGCAATAATATTTTTATGGAATGTTGTGCAATGCCTCTGGAGGGCAATTGTGCTCTGAAAGGTAGGTGCTAAATCATTTAATAAAATAAAATCTAAAATCCTACAAGTGCCTCTCCCCTCCCTGGCAGGAAAAGTACCATAGGAATAAATTAAACAATATAGCAATTTGCTGCCCTTTCAGGACTCCCAGGATAAGCTGGCTGTGTGGCTGCCTCACCCTGTCTAATGGTAGGGCTGGCCCTAGCTGTAGATAAAGCCATAGCTCAGTGGGACTGCCCAGGCTTGGCACAGAAAGAAGCTATGGTTTGCAAGGAGAATAGAGCCAAACACACACCTGAGGCGGGGCAATCAGAGTAACTAGTACATGGACCAAGGGCTTCGTTCAGGAAATTGCCTGATGTGTTTATGCCCCAGGAGATTTTGGATTTTTCACAGCCCCCTTCGTCTCATGCAAGCCCCCTTTCCCCTGTGCTGATGTGATTGATTGCCAGTGTCTGGTGGTTATTTTGCCAGCAAACCTTTTCATCAATCTTCCACCCTCTGCATCACAGCAGCGAAACTGCTTAGTTATCACACTAGCAATAACTGGGATGGCTGTTAGAACTTCCCTCCTGATGGTCCTGCGTGGTGGGTGTTGGATACGCCAAACATGGAACCATGTTGGGGTTTGGGGGGGGGATTCACCCCAGCCTTCCATTGTGTGCACCACCATGAAGACACCTGAACTGAGTAATATGTGAGTGGGTGGCAGGAAAGATCCTTACCCAGTAATCTTCGTAAGACCAGAGGCAGAGTTGAAAGAGTCATAGTTTTTATTGAACAATATCAGTTTGGGGAGAGTTATGACAAGTGCTGCACAGAAACCTATTCTCCAATTTCTTGAAAGTGTTCTTCGCCTATGTGTATACCTCTTTCTCAAAGCGTTTTAGAATTTATAATTTCAGTTCGTGCAAGGCTGAATTGGAAGGTAGCTGAGGGTGGCATGTGTGGTTTGTCTTTCCAGTAAATGTTTCTCCAGTGCTCTGCACTGCAGCCCCCTGCCCAGCCATGTATAAACTTCTGATCTGGAAAATAAACCTTGAGAGCAGTTACTTTGTGAGGTTGTCACCTACATTTTATTCGAAGCACAGAAAACTGGGGAAGCTAATACTGAGCACCTGAGATTGGGGTGGCCAGCCCCTGTTTTTATTTTAAGGGAAGTACTTCCGTTTACCTTAAAATATTTTTGTCTGTGGAAGTTTCTTTAATAATAAAAAGATTTCTTAGTATTAGTTTTTTTGTCCCCCCCTTTTAAAAATAGTTTATTTGCCATAGCATATATTTCAAGCAATATATTTCAAACAGTACTTCTTAGTACGTATTAGTAAAAAGACTTCTTTTTTAAAAAATACCTGTCAGGTGTACAACAGGCAGCCTCCCCACCTTCCTGTGCATTTAGAAAAGCCTACCTGAGGATGTCATTGGATTTTCAAGAAAAGCCGGCACCCAAGAAGGCTGCAGAGCGGAAACCACTGACAAAATGATTTGCAGAATGAAAGGAAGGACACTCCCAAACACCCTTTTGTACACTATGAATGTGCAGATGCACAACATAAAGCCTGCAGCTTACCAATGAGATTCTTACCATAATTTTCTCTCTCCTTTCATAAATTTTGTAGGAAGGTTATTTTCTCATAAATCAGTAGGAAATTGTGGTGTTTTGTTTTGGTTGGTTTTTTAAAAAAAAATAATACACATGAGGCAATGTAGTGTGGTGGTTAAGAGTGTCGGGCTAGGACCTGTGGGACCAGGATTCAAATCCCCACTCAGCCATAAAGTTCAGTGGGTGACCATGGACGAGTCACTACTTCTCAACCTATCCTACCTCACATGGTTGTTGTGGGGCTTAACTGAGGAGGGGGAGAACCATGTGCAGAACCTACCTTGACAGTAGGGTGGGATATAAATGATACTACTACTACTACTACTACTAATTTTTAAAACGGGAGTAATGTCTGGCCCAGCACTTGTTATGACAGTATCACAGGGAATCAGATGTTGCTACATCTGTATTTATGCCTGGTTCTTCTGAGCTCCATAGTAATCAGTACATTAAGAGCACCTTCATCTCTGTGCTCTCTGTGGGTAGAGCTGCCATCACTGCATTATTGTCTGCCACAGAGCTTTCACAACCATAGGTGCCTTGCACAAGCATGACACTGCTATGTGACAATAGGGAAGGGCCAAAGCTCAGTGGTAGATTATATGCTTTCCATGCAGAAAGCCCCAAGTTTAATCCCTGGCATTTCCAGGTAGGGCTGGGAATGACCCCTATCTGAAGTCCTGGACAGCTGCTTCTGGTCATCTTGAACAATACCAAGCTGGATGGACCCATGACTGTACTCTCAAGGAATGAGAGTAATATTGGTGGCAGCTTGAGATATGGGCAGAAGCATAAGAAGGAACAAGAAACAGAGAGACAACCAAACTGAAAAGTATTCCCCAAATTTATTCCTTCTATTTTTAATAGAAATTTCTTCTCCCATCAAATAATTCCAAGGATAGCTTTCATTATAAAGAACAGAAGTGCAGTAAAGATCTGAAGTAAATTATATTAAAAAACAAAGCGAAACACAATTCTAAAGGCAGCTCTGTATCAGTGGAAAATCAACAGAGTGAAAGTTGATTGTGTTAAAAGGCCTAGAAAAATTAAAAGGCCATTGCCTGGTACTGCAATGGTATCAAGGCAGGCACCATTTCAGATGCCATAACAGAAAAGGCTTTCCCCCAGGCACCTTAGATGCTGGGGTAACCTCTGCTGCAGGTCCTCTGCTGAAGATCTCAAGGTACTTAGTCCCTTAAAGTCACTTAGTCCCTTAAAGTCAAAAGAAGCACTTTGAATTGAACATGGAAGCAGAGCTGGAGCCAATGCAAATCTCCCTGGTGCTGTCCCATGGATAGTCAGAAGTGGTCTGATAGAGAGTAGGGACAGCTCAGCTGCCCTTGAAGTTCAACCAATCTGTATCTGACACAGGCAATGACAAGCTGGAAGCAACCGACATCAGTCTGAGAGCATCAGTCCTCGGGAACAGGAAGAGGAATTGGAACCAGCTACTCATCTGTTAAGTCATTAATTAAACTCAGGAAAGATACAGCAATGCTTCACGCCCCATGAGTAATTAGGAAATTCATCGAAAGCACTTGCAGCATGCTCAGCTTGTCAAGCGATAAACACAGGGTGGGAAGAAATGGGGGAGGGAAGAGGCTCCCACTCTGCCCAGTGACAGACAGCTAATCCACACAGACTGACTACCCAGCAAGCTTTAACAGCAAGGAGGACTGTTTGTCCTCCTTTCACAAATGGAAACAAGTACTGTTCATATGTCCAACCATTAACAATATGTGGCTAGAGTCCTGAGATGTTGTTGAACTACAACTATTGGCCATCCTGGCTATGATTGGATTTGGAGTCCAACAACATCTGGAGGGTCACAGGTTCCCCATCTCTACAGCAAGAGGTCAGAAAGTGTCATATGCCTTTCCTGTCTCCTGGCTACTTAAAGAGCTAGTGCCTTAGTTTATGGAATTGTAGAGTTGGAAGGGACCCTGAGGATCATCTAGTCTAGAGCTTTCCAAACTTTTCATGTTGGTGACACACTTTTTAGACAAGCATCATTTTGCAACACAGTAATTCAGTTTCACTAGCAGACCAGAAGTTAAACTAGCCCGTTTCCAGCTCCAGGAGGAGCATGGGGAGCGTGACACACCTATACACAACACACTAACATGTTGCGACACACAGTTTGGAAAGCTCTGATCTAGTCCAACCCCCTGCAATGCAGGAATATGCAGCTGTCACATACGGGGATCAAACCTGCAACCTTGGCATTATCAGCACCGTGCTCTAACCAACTGAGCTATCCAGGCTGCCTTCTTCTGCAGCTGTGGACTTCTTTGGAGTAATAAGGTTTCCAGCTATGGGGCATCTCTTCTTCGGGCTCTCTTGAGTCTATCAGCCACCAGAATCTAGAAGCAGAAGTGTCTCCTTAGGGCTCAGAAGAGGGGCAGCAGGCTCCAAGGCCTGCAGACTCCCAACGATAGGATTGTTGAATTAATCGCACACCTATTTGTGAAGCTCAATGAACACATGTTTCTACTTTAAATGCAGATGCCAGCAGATTATATTGGCTACCAGATGGTAATTCGGAAGGCCAGCTGACTTAGGGCAGCCTTGGGAAGACCTTAATTGCTGCTCTGTATCCCTCTCTGGAGGTAATTTCCCACACAGAAACAAACACCGCCAAATCCCTTAATTGGCAGCCCACAACAATAGGCTTGCAGGCAAAGGCAAAGAACCCTCACAACAAGCTAATATTTGTGAGGTGCTATTCAGGATTCACTGAAGTTCAAATAGCATGTTAAGGAAATGTTGGAAGCCAATAGTGTGTCAGATTATGACCAGTGATTTCCAGGTTTACATTTCCACTTAACCCAAAAGCTCACTGGTTGTCCTGGGACCAGTTATCACAATTTCTCAAGCTAGCCTACCTTAGAATTTTGTTGTGAAGATAAAACATGTGAAGAGAGAACTATGTACACAAATCCACTTTAAACAGTAAATAAATAAAAAAACAAGGGCTTTTGCAGTTAGGAATTTGATGGAGAAATGTCATTGAAAATGTGAAATGAACAAATGATTACAGTACTGGGAAACTATATAAACACCCCACAGCTAAATCAGGATGAAAACTGAATAAAATTACTTGCAGGAGCCCCTGGGCATTGGCCATATCCTCAAATCCTGTCAGCTGTAACTTGGAGCTGGTTGGTGGTAGTGAATATTCTTAGTTGGAAATCTCTAGCCCCCTCCCAATTCTGCAAAGAGGGAATGACTACCATGCCATTTTAACTCTGTGGTACAAATAACTCTTCAACGCAATTTGTAAAGTTTTATTCATTGCCAACAAAAAGATAAAAATCTAAGGGCATCCTTCTGAGAACAAGTATTGCCTTCAAAATGATTCCTACTACAAGGGACCTCTGGCCCCATGAAGCTATTTTCTAATGACTAACCATTTGGGCAAGTTATTAGAAAAAGCAGAAGAGTTCATTATTATTTTTATCTACTTCATAACTTATTTATAACTGTCCTTGAGAGCCATCAGATAAACTCCTCCGAATGTAAAAGAATTCACCTCAAGCAATGGATAAACATCTCTTCAACTAGAGCAGCTGGCAAACAGGTTGACTCTCTGTAGGGACGTGTAGCAACTGAAACAAACTCAGGGGCCTTGTCAGCTCAATTAGCCATAACAGTACAATTCTGGAGATATTACTTTCATGGTATTTTTCTTTTCTTTCATATTGCCAACAGTATCAAGGCTGCTGTGGCAGAATTGTCTTTATGAAAGCTTTCTTTAATTTCCTTTCCCATAACCCATAAGCCAGGCTTCCGCAACTTCAGCCCTCCAGATGTTTTTGGCCTACAACTCCCATGATCCCTAGCTAGCAGGACCAGTGGTCAGGGATAATGGGAATTGTAGTCTCACAAGATCTGGAGGGCCGAGGTTGAGGAAGCCTGCCATAAGCCTTTTATGTGTATATATATAGAGAGAGAGAGAGAGAGAAAAGAATAAGGCAGGCATCCCTAAACTTGGCCCTTGAGATGTTTTGGGACTACAACTCCCATCATCCCTAGCTAACAGGACCAGTGGTAAGGGATGATGGGAATTGTAGTCCCAAAAACATCTGGATGGCCAAGTTTTGGGGTGCCTGGAATAAGGTAACCCCAGTGGGTGACAGAGATTTGCTTTCCCAAATGTCTAAAATAAACTGACATCTTGCCCCTAAGAGCTGCTGAAAATATTATTATTATAGCCTCCTACCTGGCACAAGGGCTGACTTGGGGGGGGGGGCAAACACATGTATTGAACCCTGAGCCAACAAGGAGCCCCAGCTTTCATCCTCTTTTTAACAGAGTAAACCTGTTCAGGAGTGGAGCCTCCCAGAGGAGGAAACAGAGATGTTCCTTTTTGCAGCTAGCCTGATGCTGAATGGAGGAAGATACTGAGGTAAGTTCGTTTCAGCACTTTTCTCATGTCCACATAATTTCACTCACTTGTGTTGTCTTTATGTAATAACTCATTTTTTGGCTGGCTTTAATATGTTTTACTTGGAAGATCCCTTGAAATAAATGCTTTCTTTCTACTGAGAAAAAATTGTGATATTGCAGTTTCTCTTCTCCCCTCCCCCCCCCAATTTTCTGTGATCCCTATAAAACCGCTACTGGTCTCCTTGTCATCACTGGGCTGTTATTTATTAATATACAGTAACCATAACAACATGTATGTTATTTTCACTAATATATTCATTTTAACATACACTTTCCCCTAATATATGCATTTTGTAAACTGGTTGGAGAGCTTCATTACAAGATTCAGATAAGTGAGAATTTCAAAGGTTTGGTGTGTTTTGGTTCCTATATTGTTGTAGAAAGTGTGCATTTGGTGGATTTGACTTTAAATAACCTGAATCAATTTTCTCTTCCACCCTTACCCATTAGCAAGGTTTGCTCTTGGCTGCAGCTCATGGTTTGTGTGGAGAGAGCTTAACCATGAGTTCTGGTTCAGAGTGCCATCACTTCAATTACTGTGTCATTTTCATGCCTTTTCTGTTAGATTTTGGTATCCATTTTGTATCTAGTGCCTAACAAGCACTTTATATCAATCAGTCACTGCTACAAAATATGATAACAATTTCTGGGCTTGCTGCAAAGCCACAGCATGAACAATGACAAATCAGAAATGTAACAGGAGTGCCACAGGAGTAATTTGTGTGATACAGAGGACACCTGCCCATGCACTTTAAACACTGAGTGCCAGGAGCCCCTAAATAAGAGTTCTATTGTGCAGGGGGAACATTAAAGATGGAATGTTGGCTCAGAGAAAGAAAACTATAAGATTCAGCATAATAAACTACTCTCAATTGCAATGCAACTCATGTCACACTTTACAAGAACTGAAAGGCTTTGGAACTCCCACATTACTAAATCAAATAATCAGTAATTCCTTACTATATTGCCAACATTTAGGTCACAGTTAACTACAAAGGAGGTAAGGGATAAGAAATCTACATCAATACAGTGAACATTTGGAATAAACCTGGCAGGGAAGGGATGCATTAATTAGAAAATAATACTATAGCATATTTATGGATATTGCCGAAAATTAAGTTGCAACCAAGAATGAATTGCTATACCGCAAAAACCTTCTGACTGGGTTTTTAAATGGAGGTCGCAACATTTATTTTGCTTTGAATAGGTAGGTTTATGGTTTATTGTAAATAAAATAAACATGAACCAAAGTACCTGCTTCTTTCAGTGCATCTCAGTTGCTATCAAACACAGAAAATTCTGTCTCTGAAGCTGTTGCAAATTCATTTATACTGTGTGCTTCACTTATGTAGTGATTTATTCCATATTATTTTATTAGTATCTTAACTCTACTTGCTGCTGTCTTTCACAGTTTGGGCCTCCATCATCTGGGTTATGAATGCATTTTTTAAATTTAAATGGAGCCTAGGGATGGGAGATGGAATCTGCCAAACCTAGATTCCAAAGCGGACAAACCTGGTTTGATCCAGGTGGATCATAACCTGTATCTGGTTATGGGTCCACTTCAAAATTCACAGTCTTCCAGATCCCTTTACAAGGCAGCCTAAGGGCCGCAATGCTGCCTCTGTTCATGCAGAGATACTTGTTAGAAAAGCAGAAAGTCCTTCTATGGCTGATTATTAAAGCTTTGTTTCAAAAATTTAGTTGCTGGCACCGATCTGAAACAAAGCTGAATAATGCACCTGGAAGTGCGGAGGAAATATATACAGGTGTTTCAGTTATGTAGCAGTCAAAAATAGAGGAGGAAAGGGGCATCATGCTCTGTTTTTCTCCAGTTATTGCAAATAACTTTAGCTTCTCTCTGCCAGGAATTGCTGACCGTGGCCTCATATGGTGAATTACATAACTGCAGCCTCATAGGGAAAAATCTTCCAAGTCCAGACTAGTTTTAACTACCCAGGCTGAGCATTGGCTCTTCATGTGCAGGAAGAAGTGTAAGAGGGCTCCTGTCTCAGTGGTGCTTTGCTTGAGCAACAAGGTCAACCTGAGCTCTGGTTTGTTCTCAGATCCTACCTCCTGCTTTGCCATCTGACCATGATTTCTCTCTGGCCCTGATCCCCAGTTCCTGCCTGCTTACTGCTACCCAAAGCCAGCACCGGATTTAGGGAGGTATGGGCAGTCCCCACTCTCACAGGGTGCCAAGCCAAGGAGGTGCAAATTGAGAAGATCCATGATTGCGAAGATCCATTTTGGGGCAACAAAATTTGCCCTTGCTTAGGGTGCCACGTTATTAAGCTATGCATTGGTTGATGGAATCACTGGGCTAAGACAACCAAAGTCTGCCCCTGCCAAAGCCGAGCCTTGGTCATCTCAGCTGTAGCTCTGTCTCCATCCTCCATCATTTGTGGCATGGTTAGGAGTGTAGCCTCCTTCTGAACTACAGGGCATTTCACCCTGGGGAGACCAATTCTGTGCTTCTTACTCTAGTAGGATTTGCTAAGCATTATGCCTTGTGTTTAACTTACCCTTCAGGAGTGCAGCATTTAACCAGTGTTTGATGACCTCTGGAGGGAGAAATGGCTAGAGACTTTTTGAGTTTTATTTATGAATATGCAAGCTGAGCATGGGTGGAAGCACAGTTTAACATTTTACAAACAGCAAATTGTACCGCATATAACCAGAATGAGGCACTCCTGCATCCCCAAATACCTTTTGACCCAGCCCTCTCTTTGTTTCTGTACACAGAGAACTAGCTTACATTACTCTTAACTGTATTTGTGGAAGAAAGGTATGCATTCTTCCATTCAGCAGTCCAAGACCTTCTAGCTATTTCCAATCTATTGAGAAGGCACCAGCAATCTCCTAACAAAAGTAAAGTAAATCCAGGCCTGGACATGGCACCCATTAAGAAACATCACCCGAATATTCCAGGGTGTCAGTATTCCTTTGCCCACCCCAAAGACTCTGGCCAGATATTATTGCCTTAATGCAAACCCATAGTGATAGGCCTGTTCACATTAATCTGATGCCAAACCCATAACACTATGTAAATCTGCTAGACCTCTGTTTTGCATTCTGCTGATGTAGATTATATTAATGTGCTTTTGCATGATCATTCACTTCCCTTTCCTGCCTTGCTCTTGTTGTGTGGTGAAAAGATGGATGGTTTCAATTATTTTCCTAATGCAGTTGTCCATGGCTTAGGTCCAAAATTCCTGTAGCAGAAGCAGAAGATGCTTGCACTCATGCCAAAGGGGTTCTCTAACTACTGCTGCTTCCCCTTCAGCTATAGACTCTGCACCACATTGCACACAGTTCCAGAGAGTCCCTGACTCTCAGGAGGGTTTTAGCATACGTAAGGGAATGAAGCAGGGAGAAGAGTGCAGCAAAGCCCTGTTGCGTGAGCTGAACTCCACTCATCCTTGTTTTTTTGGATACGAGACACTATCTTGCTTAGTGTGCTGGATGATTGCTTGATTTGGCACATGCTCAAACACTGCTCTATTCCCAGATTAATTATTTTACAAGATCCTTTGGCAAACAAGCTCACATTAAACTTTCAGTATCCACACTCCACATTTTCTTCTGCTGAAGGAGCAGCAGCATAGCAAATACTCCCTATGAATAAGGGTACCTTCACATGTGCAGTTTGGAATCCCTACTACTTCCCTCTGTTGTTCTGCCCAGAATGATGGGTTGTTGTTGTTTTTTAAAGCAACATACCTCCAAATAACCATGCAAGTGAAAAGCTGCATTGCAGCAATAAACTAAAAATGTACATGAGAAGTTGCACAACTTTGAGGCTTGAGAACACAATTTCAATTAAATATCACAGCCTGGGAGTGATCCTGGCTCCAGTACTGTCACATGAGGCCAGCTACAGATGGTTCACCAATGATGGACATTCCTGGACAGAGATAATCTGGCCACAGTACTCCACATTATGATAATCTCCTGCTTAGATTATTCCAGTGGAAGCTGCAGCTTGTGCCTAATGCAACCATCAGACTTTTGAGCAGTGATGGAAAGGCTAGTGGCAGAGCAACTGCGGATGCAGCTGGGTGAAGTGGACTATCTAGACCTGTTTCAGTCTGGCTTCAGGCCTATTTTCAGCATGGAAACAGCATTGATCACTCTGACGGGCTACCTTTATTGTGAGAGACAGAGAATGAGTCTTACCCTATTGATTCTTTGTGAACTCTTGGCTGCTTTTGAAGTCATAGACCAGGCTTCCTCAACCTCGGCCCTCCAGATGTTTTGAGACTACAATTCCCAGCATCCCTGACCACTGGTCCTGCTAGCTAGGGATCATGGGAGTTGTAGGCCAAAAACATTTGGAGGGCCAAGGTTGAGGAAGCCTGTCATAGACCATTGTATCTGTTGGTTGGCGGCAACTGTGTTGTTGTGACTCCACTCCTATCTATAGGTTCAGTACCAGAGAATAGCACTGGGAGACTTCTGTTTGGCGCCATGGCATTTGTGCTCTGGTCTCACTAGGTTCTATCCTGTTTCCCATGCTATTTAATACCTCTATGAAACCACTAGGAAGAGTCATCTGAGGATTTGTAATGTAGTGCTGTCACTAGCATGCTGATGACACCCAGTTCTATCTCGCCATTCCATCTGGATCAGGAGATGCTGTATATGTGCTAGACTGGTGCCTGGAGATGGCAACAGGTTGCATGAAGGCTAATAAAACAATGACCAAATCATAATAAGATGGAGTCACTGTGAACAGGCAGTTATCATGCCTGGGAATTAGGGAGGGAGCCTATTCCGAATGTGGTAGCACTCCTTCTGAAGGAGCAGGAGTGTAACTTGAGGTTACTCCATTAAATGATGCTGTCATTGGAGGCCCGGCAAGAAGTGCCCATTCCCAGCTACAGATGGCCCACCAGCTGCAGCTGTTCCTGGGCCAATTTTGTCTATCATCAGCTATCCATGCTCCGGTGACCTCAT